CCATCAGTCATTCGAATAAGATCTCTGAGCAGGCGATCTCTTGGGAGAAGTGACTGTGGAGGAAGCTCCTTGTGGTTAAGAGGCTCGTGCATCAGCTTCGGGGCTTCGACCATTTGACAAATACTTCCACTTGAGGACCTCAGCTACATTCAACAGGTTCCATGCTTTGGGTCGTGGGCCTCGGTAGTTGGACTTCGGCAAACACGCTTGCGTCGGATCGAGGAGCCTCGGCGGATGGACCTCGGCTTGAAGGACTTCGGATAGAACCCACCTCGGCAATGTGTGCCACCTCGACAGGAATGCCACGTGGATCAGGATGAGTGGGCCATTGGCCCAGGTGGGTAGGACAGGTGTGACAACACGCAACATTAAGCACTGGCTTTCATCTGCCAAATCAAAGAACTTTGCTATTTGTACACTAATTTTTTACCCGTTGCTTGACATTTACTTTGTTGTCAAGTGTCAATTGGATAGGAAAACTGTTTGAAATTTAAACTATCCAATTGGATAATATCACACGACAAAGTGTAAACTAAAGTGTACACCATAGTATACATGTAGCAAGGTTTCAAATCAAATTACCAGACAATGCATTGGAAATTGGTTTAGTAAAAATCAAAAATCGAAGGTGTGACTAATGCGTCAACCCAAACAGGAATCATTTATGATACAAGTAGTAATCATAGATATATTACCAATTGGGTTTTTTCTAAACGGAGCCTGGATACTTCATTACTTTGGTTGAATATTCGGACTCGATTCGATGGTCAAATTACAAAGGTAATAAACCAACTTGTATATTTGGAATCTCGAAACCAATTTCGGATTTTGCGGTCCAAAGTTAGGAGAAAAAATAGAGGAAACTGGCCAGGATACCCATTGCTCGAGTGACATCCCCATCGCTCGAGCGACGGATCAACAAGAATCAAGTGAAAAGTTTCTGTTCGAATTTTGACAATATTGCTTGAGCGAAAAATCTAGTGAAAAGCTAGCGAAAATGAATTGTTGCTTCTTTTTGAAAGAATACACGATTTGGCCCGCATCACTTCATCCATACCCCTTCTTCCTCTATAAATAGGACCCATTGGACGTCCTTAAAGAAATACCATCTCATAATTTGCATTAAGCACTCTTCTTCTCTTGGAAAATCTCTCTTCTTCATTTCATATCATTCTTTTGTTGAGAGGAAAATTCTGTCGAAAGTTCATCAATTCTTGTGGTTTGAAGTGCTGCCACTACAAGATTAAAAATCTATTGTATCTTGGGAGATAAGTGCCATCAATTGTGAGCACCATAGCGGGGTAGTATTGTCTTAAGGAGAAAGTGTCATCACTCGCTTCGGATTATATTCTACCTTTCTTCTTCTTCTCCTTTCTTATTTTGCACTTTGAAGCTTTGATACTACATTTCCATCCATATAATTGTGGTTTAACTACGCTCGTGCAGGTTAAACGTTATTTGATTTGTCTCATTCACAAACAACCATTTTGCCGCTCACATACTAGCCCGGTTCCAACAATATGAAGCATAGTACAATCCTTAAACTCTCAAATCATATTTGTGTCAAAATTCAATCCATGTCTACTTTTTTCCGTCTGGCCAAGTTAAAACTTTTCCATAAAATTAAGAAAAAAATCTCTTACCAACTTCAACAAATACATGGCAAAGCTTGTTCTAAGGTTCTAGACGTATTCAACGTTATTTGAACAAACAAAATTTTGTTTATTTGTCTATTATGAATTTTAATGTTTACAGTAACATAGTTTATGGACTGCTATGTCAGTTCCATGTTTATTTGCTAGTTGAGCTTAGTAATTAATATTCTAAAACTTGCAAAATTCAGGTTAATTTTTGAATGGTGCAATTGATTTCAAGAGTTCACAAGTAGTCATTTACTAACAACTTGATATAGTCAAGAGTATGACATTTCAGTTTTTTCTGTAAAAACTAGGAACCACAATTCAGTTTCAGAATGATGGAAGAGCTGCTCAACTGCATCTATAGATAACTTCGGAACCATAACTCAGTTTTCCCTTTTGGGAGTTTGAAGATACAAAATGGCACCAAGAGTATGGACAAATAGGAAACCTATTGGCTTTCTCGCTTGCATTTTATTTTGACCGCCTCTTAAATTACATTCTCAATTCCTCCCCCACCTACCCTTCCTATTTTGGTTTTATGACATACTCCACTGATGGGATCTTATAAGATCAATACTGATTGATGCATCGGAATGACTTTGCTAGTGGTAAGGATATCAATCGGGATCAATGTTGTATTGGTGCCTTCTCCTCATATTATCATAACTGCCCTATGCTTGAGGTTGAGTTGACAGCCATTCTTTGTGGGGTACTTCTTGCATGCCGACTGAACTTTTGCACTTATGGATAGAGGGGGATTTAGCCGTAATTGCATCACCCATGGTAGAGGTCCATGGTCTACCCAAGCTACTCTCAAACGTATCAGGCATCTTCTTTCCTTTGATCGTAACACTATTTTCCACATCTATCATGGGGGATATCATATTGCTGACTCACTTGCCTAGAGGGTTGGGATCTACTTTGCTTTGCTATCAGTAGTATAGTCCTCTAGCCTTGTCCCGACGACTTTGTGCCCTTGTATAGATTGACAGATATGGCCTTCTCATATTCAGGAGTCTTTAGGTTTTTCGGTTTCTTTAAATTCATATTTGCACAGAATTAGTACCCCCCTCATTTACTACTTTCGTCTTTCATACATTTGATTGGAGGTCATTTATGCCCCCTCTATTGTATTTATTTATGGTTCACTCATATCGTGAAAATATTTGGAACTTAAATTCTTCGTCATTTCCTCTATCATAAAATGGAGCTCAGTAGATAACTAGCCAGGAAGACAGGTCAAAAAAATAGCAAATTAAACGCAACTTTCATCCAGGCGCAAAAAAGTACAGTAAACCAAGATCAGCTCTTATAGAATTAGCAAGTTACCATATCCACAGGTGTAACAAATTGACAGCAGCATACTCCTAAACTTAGTAGCTGACGTCTTTCTGGGAATAAAAAACTCAGATGAGATCATATTTGATGACCCACCGCCGCGGTACACCAAAAAGCAGAAACAGTTCGGCCTCAAAAGGGGATTCGGCTGCTTGGTTCATGTTCCTACTCAATCTTGGAACTCCTCAATTTATGGAAATTGCCAAGTGATACCAAAACATGTTAAATCACAAGAAGATCATTGACGTTTGCTTGTGAACTCATATCTCCCAAAGGGATTCTATTTCCTTTTCTACACATTCGAACAAGTTCCCTCTCATGAATCTTCTCCTAGGCCCTAGCTGAACTGAAGATTTCTTCTCCCATACATAACCTATTCTACACATGCTAATACACAGATACAGGCTTTTAATTCCCTTGCTCTCCAGCGTTAAATTAACTTAAGCATTGGATGAAAGTCTGAAGGCACCTGGTGACCCCTCTCATCATTTTCTAGTGATTATGGGGTCTGACACTGAAGCAGTGAGCTAAGCCAAATTCTGAATGCATTACATGAATCCTCTTCTTTCCATCAAAGGTAATCTAAAGAATCAAACCACAGAAACTCATAACCTTTTAGACGAACAGGTCCATTTATCTCGTGGTTCACCAGTAGTACTATTCCCACAACTTACACAGAACATCTCACTCTGTTCTATCTAAACTTACTTTTAATAGAAACAAACATACTTTTTCCACCCTTCTTGTTTAATTTAGCCAACTTCTCATGACGACCCACTAAAATTATGAGAAAAAACTCTCACAAAGCCTACTAAAGTTCTGACTTCACTCCAATCAACCAAGATTATTATGAAATTTATATTGGGGATAAAACAATTCTTCCGAGGATTCCTAATCAATTTTTGCTGGAAGAAACCTTAATTTAAGTTTTGTAGAATAAAGGTTGATCTAAAAGAGAAATAGGTGCTTAAATTTTCAAGGATAAGTCCCCCGGACCCCCACCAACCCCAAATCAATCTTAATCTAGTTGTCTGCAAGACTGAAAACTTGGTATAAATTGTAGACAGGAGAAGACAAACTCGGGGAGTTTCCAAAGGCTAGTTCACGGGTTTTACTTCTTCGCAGGCACAAGAATGGAAGAAGCGAGGATGAACTTTTAAGGATACACGGGGTTATTTTCCGAGGACATGTGTCAAGTTTTATTCGACCACGTACACAATAATTCAAACTATACAACCTCCATGTTAGTAAAAATTATCTGTTTTGCCATCTGATAGTAGTGATCTACAAGCAAATAATGAAGACTGCATTGTCCCATTAGACAAACAGGAACATAAATTAAAAAACTAGAGGTTTTAGATTTTTCATAAAAGAACAACAGAAAAAGCACAAAATTGATTTAACACTGTCAACAAAAAGTAACTAACTTACAATGTGAGTTCACGTTATCAAAACTATATTAGACCTCAGTTATCAGAAAAATTGCACTAACCAAGAATGAGCATGTTATATTTATAAGTCCATGTTGGGGCATACAGTACCAAAAAACTTCACCTGTGTTCATCTTCTGTCCAAGCAATCCCCTTGCGCCGCTCCTGATCTGACCTCGAAGCTTTGCCTCCATGACCTGAATCACCATTTAAGTGCCCAAAATTCCCACCTTTCTTATCAGCTCCTTCATCACTAGCATAGCTTGTTCCACCATCTGAAGAAGAATTATAACAAGGCAAAGGTATGCAGCCAGACTCAATCCGGCTGACATCATCCATTAAAAGTTCATAGTGATGTTTAACCTCTTCCAGAGATTTTCCTGGAACATCAGCAGAAATTTTCTCCCATCTATCTAAAGAATCCTCAGGATAAGTTGTTAATGCTTTCTCAAATTGCTTATCCTGCTCTCTACTCCACACAGATGTGCTTGACTCACCGGTTGGCATCGGGCCTTTCTGTCAATCTTGTATTTTCGGATCTGTATGTTTTACGGGAAAAGCATCCAAAGAGGGAAAGCCAAAGAGTAAGGGCAAAAAGACTCAAAACATGGACAGCTGAAATTTATTAGAGACAGTTCGCAATAAATATCACTGAGAGAGCCTGAGAAGCAAGGGAAATGCTGATGAATTCGATTGTAATCTGCCTCAAATTCGAGAATTGGACTATTGTGAAATTCTGATCCTATTGATGAAGAAAGAGGCAATAAATTTAGTTAGTCCATGAGAAATATCTGAAAATTATAAAATCAAACATAAATGAATAACATAACTACAGCAAAAATGAAATAAATGGCAGCGAGGAACATAAAAGACAATTTTAATTGGTGGGGTGAATTCTCTATGATGGTAATAATGACTGCATAAGAACGTAAAATATGAAAGAGACTACCATGAGTAACAACAAAGAAAGTCCCATAATTGCAAAAAGGATAAAAGAAGCATTCAAATTGCAATAACTCTCAAATTCTACACATTTACAATCTTTGATAGCACAAGTTTTTACAGCAAAGGCCCACTTGAAAGATGAATCATACCTAACTTTTACAATCCAAAAGTGATGCTACCTTTTTCCACTGCCAAGTGATGATACGTACACAGTAAAAAGTGAAAACTCCATAAGCAAATTTAGACACTTGGGATCATGGCTATGCCTGTTCATGTGAAAGTACAGTCTTTCCATGCCTAAGACGATATCTGGAGAATTAGTTCAGAAAGTAAATTATTAAAGTTTATATTTAAGAGTACACTCTTAGTTTTTTTAAGAAAAATTTGAAAATCAACAGATTTTCAACTAATTAAAGATTGTGCTAGCACATACAAAGTGAAGAACATAGTGCAGATAAGATTACTGATAGAGAGTTGTCAAATCATAGTTTAAGTTAACAAATGATTAAGCAAAGCAAAAGACCCCTTCATAAGGCAACAAACAAACTCTTTAATAACAACAAATAAGTATGTTTGCCCCCCAGGGCACATCCAAGTTGGCAGAACAATCACATTGGGGGGCTCTGGAACCAAGTGTGGGGAGTTCGATTCCTAGTTGGAGCAGCCAAGTGATGTAATAACCAGAGGAAGGGTTGGAGCAGCTTGGTGATGTAATAACCATGGAGGAGGGTCCCTTTGGGGAAGGAGTAAAAGCCATGTGGGAACCTGGGAACCAACAAGGGCACAACCTGCGATTTACCTCCACTAGTCACTGAGGGGCCGGGGGCTAGAGGTCCAGGATTTAGTCCGGCTAAGCTGGGACACCTGGGTTATCAAAAAAAAAAAAAAAAAAAAAAAAAAAAAGTATGTTTAAAAATATCTATTAAGTGAAGAGCCCAACCTTCCAACTGCAATTCGTTTGTAAAAAAAAAAAAAAAAAAAAAAAAAAAAAATAAGTATGTTTAGATATATCATTCTCATTCAGCTTTCCTCCAACTAAATTTTCTCATTTAATCGTCAATTATCCATTTCAAAAATTACTTGTAGAGTACTTGTTGACGTCTTTCCAATCAAGAACAAGAACTAATGCATTGACATATTAAAATTTAGTAACAAAAGACAGCCAATGGAAAATATACTGAAATGGGGTGAGAGGAATTCTTGAATGAGGTTGATGGCTTAGCTAAAAATCAACATCCCACAAGAAAAGTAACAACTGCACACACTGAGAGTGAGAGAGAGAGAGTGAGAGAGAGGTGGGGCTTTGCCAACAATTTAGCAAAACTAGTCAGTCAGTATGACAACTAATATGATGAGGAAAATGAAAAGGGACCACTTTATTTGAGTGGCTCATCAATTTCTCCATTCTATAAATATCATTCATCCATTAATATCTGACACTCACCAGGTATGAAAGTATCAACACTGTAGCCATACAAAAAATATATATAGCCAACAAAAGAAAGAAAATGGATGGTTTGAAAAGACAATTAAAAACTCATATTTTTCTACTACTTGCCTCATTGATTCAGACTGGTTGATTGTGTACCTTTTTTATTTTCCAAAAACATATTATTTTTCCTATTTTAACAATAACTATATAAATAAATAACATACATATTAGTATTTTACCCTAAATTTATATTAGATAGAAACCCTCTTTTTTTCTTTTTCTTAATTTCAATTTAGATAATAAAAATATTGCCTCTTAACTTTAAGAAAGTTCATTTTTTTTCATTTTACTACAAATGGTTACAACTCAATAATATTTTTGAAAATTAACTTTTTATTTCTAGAAAAGGCAACAAAATTAATGCAAAACAAAGACTAGAAAAAGAATAGAAAATTAACTTTGAACCTTATTTACTGCCAGCTCCATTATTTTTTGACATTAATGCTAATTTTTATTAGGGTCTTGATATTATGATTAGAGGAATTTAAGTTTCTAAGTTTAACCTAAGATAATAAATGTACAAATGTTAAAACAATAATGTTATAGCGTAAAAAATGGACGAACAAGAAAACATATTTCACTTCATAGATTGCAAATCAATCAAATTGATTAATTCATTACAGTATTTCTTTTAAGAAATAAAAAAAAAAAAAGAGTGAAAAATATAGTTTAGATGTCTTTAAATGGTAGTTTTGATGATGCATATGAAAAGGGTAAACTAGAAAATGCAAATTCATTGTTGACTAATGGGGAGAATTTGTAGACGACAAATCTTAGTGGTAATTTTAAAAAATGTAATAAATATTTCCGTAATTGTCAAATATCTCAATATGTGTCTCTTTAATTTATTCTATGGTAAAAATTTTGCACCGTTAATTAATGCGACGTATCAAAAAATCTTAGGAGGAGATTTTGTTATTTTTTAGAAATGCAGCAAATATTTCTATAATGATCAAATAGGAAAATTGGCACAAATGGTCCCTAACATTTTGTTCTTGGAGTGACCACCTAAATGTATTGATTTTGTGTGCAAAAAGTCCTTTTTCGATATTTTCATCCATCTCTACCTTTAAAGTATATCTATTTTAATAAAAAAGATACTTAAGCAGTTTACCTATTTATTTACTTAAAATCAGGTTTATGCAAAATTTATTAATTTCCATATTTCTTTGCAATCATAGTCAAAACTTCATATACCAAAAAGACGGGATAGAAATATTTTAGAGGGAAAAGAAGAAAAAGAAATATTTATTCTTGACACCATTTTTCTCCATTATTGCTTAAATATCATTTTAAGCCATCTTCAACCATGACAGTTCTCTCACTTTTTTTTTTTTTTTTTTTACTAGCATTTTTTTTTTTTTTTTTTTTTTGGTTACTGGCATATCATTTCATTATAAAATTGGACTTTGAAAGAATTAATACTAAACTCAACAAAAATAGCTTTACAAAACAAGACATTAAGATGATTATCTTTAGATAGACTCAATGAAAAACTCTTCATCCATACTTCGTAAAAAGAGAGAAATTGTATATTTAGTAGAACATTTATTTTTTTGGCATCTATCTGTCCTTTTTTTTTTTTCACAATTCACTCTTATCCTCTCAAATGAAACTCAAACCAGGTCAATGATCGATAAAACTTCACTCTTACAACTTGAGCTAGATTTTGACCTCAACATTATCAACACTTTAGACTCATAGTGATTCTATTTTGTATTTTTGATATTTTATGTCAATTGAAATTAAATTTTCATCCACCTTGTGATTCTGGATGCCCTGATGTCATCCATCCCAATTGGTTAAATTTCGTTTGCGACTCCCAACTGTTAATGACACTACTATTAGAAAACTCTATATTTGGGAAAAAATTAAAATAAAAGTAAAAATCTGTAAACAAAGAAGTAATCCAAAACAGAATAAGATGAAAATCTTTAAATAAAGAGATGATCCAAAACAGAACAAGAAGGAACAAGAAGAAAACACATTATAGTTAAATATCATTATTTGTTAAAACGATTTGATTTTATTAACAATGATAAATTGTTTGACAGTCGTTAGTAACCGTTGAGGAAATGATATCATTAGAAGAAATATGAGAATTAAGAATTTTTGCACAAATCCTCCTCCAAGTATATAAATCAATAGGTTGAGAAGAATAGAAAGTTAATTAGGGATCATTTGTGCACAAGGGCAATACGTTAGGAGTCTTGAGGCCAATCCGAGATCACGGCTTCAATTCGTGGCAGCGCCACCCTGTAGCGCGTAATAAGGCATGAGCAAAGTACGGGCCACAATTGGCTTCCAACAGAGACTTTTTCAAGTGTTGCACGAGTTAAGAACAGAACATCACAGCATTCATGATTCTCCTTTTTGATAACTATTATTTTCTTCTTAATCCAGAAAAATTCTCAATCAAGTAATGATTCCAATGCTTATTGTAGAGAAGAAACCAGAAGTTGTTGGAAGAAGCACCTTCTCCAGAATTAACTCTAGAGTTGCAGAAAGCCATGGGAGATGCAGCGGCATCCGTAGGTTACATAGGTGTTTTGGGACTGTGGAGTTCCTTATGAAGGAAAGAAGATCCTTTTGCTTTATGGAAATGGACACTAGGATCCAGGTGAAAAATACCAGATTGACCTTATGACTCATATAAAGGAGGGCAGGGGTTCAATTTCTGGGAACGCCAGCCCTGAAGCATGAACCTGTTGCGCATAAAAAAGTGCGAGCCAGTTCCGAACAAAAAAATTGCGTCCCACAGTCTCATGTTCCTTCTTTTCATATATATATATATATATATATATATGGGGGTATGCTGTTTTTAAGATGGCTGTTTTAAGATGGCTGTTTAACTTTTAATAGCTTTAATCCTACTCAGTACTCTCTTTAATTTTCTATAAATCTTTCTTAAGAATCATGTATAAATCCTTTTTTTTTTTTCATTTAAATTTTCACCACCTATAACATATAAACTTGAACCTGATTTCTTTTTATAAGGTTACTCGTGGCACTCCCTTATAAAATTCTTAGATTAATTTCTCCCTTTCCCCAGCATCTCTAGAAAACATCAAAAAGGCTCACTCCGGCCAAAAGTTTTTATTCATTTGGGTCACTCGGGATTAGCCTAAGAACAGTATGGCTTCTAGAAATCAAGTTATGCTTTTATTTTATGTATAGGATGAAATGAGAAACATAACAGATATTTACTTAAAACATAAATACAAAAATATGAACATAAACTAATAAAACATAAATCAGGGATTTATAAATTCATCTTTTAAAAAGATTTACAACTAAGGATTTCCCTTTCGGGAAGTCCCTAAAGTTCTAAAATAAACTTAAAGAAATACAAGAATACCTTAAATATTCACAATGATGATTCAGCTATACAATGATTTTTTGGATTGAGAATTTTTCTGAGAAGGGTTTCAAAATGTTTTTGGATAGCAAAGAGTACACAGGTTGTAAACTTCTGCCTAAACCTGAATGAAACTTGTTCCTTAAATAGGAAAATTCTTGGGAGCAAAAAGTCTAAAATATCCTTGAAAAGAGCACACGTTTCACCGAGAAACTTCTGGCTAATTCAAGATAGATCTAACAAGTAGAAAGAAAATTTCCTACTTTCACAAAAGTCTAAAAGTCTACAGTTTAGGAATCTTGAAATTTCCACCAAT